ATGCCCCCCCCCCCCTCCTCCTCCTCCAAAACCCATAAAACCAAGACGAACACAAACCCACCCCTAGGAATTACCCAATGTGTAGATAAGAATTATAATCTATAAATCATAAGTTTGAGCCAAATCACGAGTCACGGCAGAAATTCTACTATGAAAGTTGTGTTGGGATTAGAATTGACGGATGATCAAAGGTTTAGCACAACCTATTGCACCATGATGAGTAAATGCAGAACCAAGTTCAACAAACATTTGAAATGATATAAATAGTTACTGGCATTTCTATGCATCATTATACATGGTTGAGTAATACTCACAGGTTCACAAGTGTGTGAAGTAAGGATCTGAATGTTGCCGCTTTTATCAAGTAGAGGTTCCCCTGCTTTGTTTCTCTTGACCATGTCCTCTGCATTCCCATGATCTGCAGTGACCACATAAATTCCACCTACTTGCTCAATTGCATCTAGGATCATCTGCAGATTACAAGTTGAAACCATTAGCAAGGTAAACATGATTCAAAACTTCCTATTCAAGATAAAAAAATTGCAAAAGCATGAACTACTCCATATTCAGGAATTAAGGTAGCTCTTCTAAACAAAAGAAAAAATTAATGTCTCCTAATGAGGCATTGTCACACAAGCATTTATGATGGAAGAAAGTTGTATACATGTATATCATGAGGTCATGAACATATACAACAGGCTCGCATATAAGGCTGGGCATTGAATGTTAGATAACCAGTGTTTTAAATGTTAAGCAAGCAAAAATTACTATAAAATAATACGTAGTAATATATGATCTCAAATCAGAAGATTGTGATGTCCCAAAGGAAACACTTTCGAAAGTATGAAACCTCAGAGCAGTTACCTTGACAGCCTGATCAGCAGCCTTGCAGGCATCAATTGTAGCATGGATATCACCGGTATGACCCACCATGTCACCATTCGGGATATTAACACGTACCTTGAAAGATTTCCACAATAAAGTCAAGTTATGCACACCAACTTCTCTACTGCTAGTTTATTTATTCTATGTGTAGACAAAGTCATGAATTACTACCTGATCAAACTTCCGGCTAAGAATAGCATCCCTCGCCTTTTCTGCAATCTCTACAGCTTTCATCTTTGGCTGGACATTGAATGTTATTCCAACATCACTTGGAATTTCAACATATTCTTCCATATCAGCATTGAAATATCCAGAGCGGTTTCCATTCCAGAAAAAGGTGACATGACCAAATTTAACAGTCTCACTGTCAAGACAATGAATATGAAAGGTCAAGTCAAGGCTTCATCAGACCAGAAACCTTAGAAGTCAACAAACTAAATACTACCCCCAACACAATTCCACAAATAGTCTTGTTTGACAAAGGTACAAACTTTCTATTCTAGCAAAGTACAATTTGCAAAGACCAGGAATTCTACTTAGATTTTGAAAAACTATCGGTTTAACTAAATTTAGCATACATAACTTGAATTTGTGCCTTTTTGGAAATTTATAGCAAATATGCTTCATATGATCTTTAAGGGCTAGTTTTTTACGATGGAAAACGTATAAACTAGACCCTTTTTAAAGGAAGAAAGTAATAAATGAACAAAATTATGTTTCATTTTAACAATAAATATTCGCGGTTCTTGATTAGGTGTAGAAACATTTATGAAAAATCTACATTATATTCAGCAATGATCTCACTGCAATGAACATTAGCAACTCCATTGATTGCCCCCAAATACCAAGACTAATGGGGAAAAATTCCAATGCAACTTAGAAGTACAGGGCATTCAATCCATTCATCGTTTCTTCAATAAACATATGTGAATGAATACATAACTAACCTGCATGCAAAGGTTCGGACACCATTATGCACTAGATATTCTCCAGAAGTTCTGTCAATTTCTGGAGGAGAAACAAGGTAACGGTTAGGAAGCTTCAACTCCCCATCATATTGAAGCATACCGGCATAACGGATCTTAGGAAATCTGACACGGTCAAATTTGTCAAAGTTTTCATGCTCGAGAGCCTTTGCCATCATAACCATGCGGTCTGCTCTAAAGTTGATAGTTACAACCGCATCACCATCCACAATAGGCCCAACAGCTTTCCCATTGTCATCAACAATGACAAATGGAGGTAAGTACTGATCGTTAGCTTTTGGAGCCTCTCTCAGCTTCTTGATTGCTTCAACAGGATTCTTAAACTTGTTTGGAGCTTCACCTAGCACTTGGGCATCCCAACCTCTCTTGACAACATCCCAATCATTCTGCAGAGCATTGAGGAACTATTCAGTACCGAGTTCTTTTATTTGTGAGAGCATGAATAATCTTGTGTGATGCTCAAATTTTGCACTGACCAAGATACTATTAAATGAAGATTTATAATTTTACACTTTGTTGTCACCAATATTAGGTAATTCCTATTTTTTGTCACTAACATTCATTTTTTCCACCTTTTGGTGCAAGACTCTACATTCCTTACCACCCACTTTTTATTCATTCCTAAGTGAGAATAGACTGATAGTAGTGAAGCCAAAAGCTCAATATTTTAATGGAAATACAATTTTTATTTGTGTAATTTAGCATTAATTTATGAACCGGGAGTCACTTGGAAACAACCTCTCCAGATCCAGCTTTTGTGGAATTTTATTGGGTTGTAGCATTAATTTGCAATGCAATCAAGAAAGTATTGAAGCATGCTTCAGTTACCTCATATCGATCCATTGTGACGTACATGCGGCCTCCACCTGAAGCAACTTGTGCATCAATACCTTTTGCACGTAGGTTTGCCAAATCATTTTCAAGGGTTTCCATAAAGCCTACACTTGAACCATCAAGGACGTCACGTCCATCAGTGAGGGCATGGACACGAATTCTTTTGGCACCATGTTCAGCCACACCTTTCAGCAGCAACTGCATTTAGAAGCAGTACAAAGTTTTCGCTCGTTCAGAAGCTATTTTGATAAGTAAAAATAAAGCAGAAATGGCATCTATGCCGAACCAGTGTAAATCAGACTGCCATTATCACAATCCAATTTAGAAGCAATGAAATACCTGCAGTTGGTCAAGCCTGGAGTGAACCCCTCCATCACTCAGTAGCCCAATGAGGTGCAAGGTTCCAGTTGCAAAACTTTCTTTTATGTAATTGAAACCCTCTCCATCATATATCTTACCAGAGGCAAGGGCTAGGTCTACAAGCTTTGCACTACATTGAAGAACAAATACTAGTTCACTAACTCGGGAGCAGAAATTATGAACATGATTTAGAAAACTGAATGATATACTTTCTACAACCACCAACAGAATCATCAAAACCAATATCTAAATTGCAAGAAATAACTTTCTAGTTTCTACTGATATCCAAAAGCAAACCGAGACCTATTTTAATTTTGGGAAGATCATCCAATAGTAAAACATTATAATTAGAAGCTTCGCATCGACAATTATAACTAATCTACGGTTTGAAACAGCAGGAAAGCACAGGAATGACATTATCAAGGATTAACAACAAGTCACAGATCATGGAAGAGAGAAAAAAGAAGAAGATACCCTTGGGCAAATATCCTCCCAGCACCAAGCGCATTGTGTCCGACCTCACTGTTACCCATATCGTCCTCTGTGGGAAGCCCCACTGCCTTACCGTGTGCCTTGATCAATCTCCATCTGTCCGGAAAACCCTTCAAACAAACCACGAACACAAAGTCAAACACACAAAATCCATGGAGATCCCATTCCGGCGATCATCAATTAACATATCTCAAATCAATACGGAGTTAATTGCGATCTATCAGAATTACAATCCAGAAGCGCGAATCGAATCATCGGAAACCATTAAAGAACAAAAGATCGGAAAACCTTTTTGAGAGAATCCATGGTGGGAGTTTCCGCTACATGGATGGCGTTGTACTCGTTGGCCTTGGCCTCGCCCCAGCCGTCCAGAACCACCACCGCCACCGTCTTCCCCTTGGGAAGCTTCGGGTGGTCGTTCAATTTCAACAAATCTCCGGCGGTGCTGCCCATTTCTCTCCGATCTGCTCACGCTTGTTTACCCAATCAATTCAGATGAACAACGGCAATACAAGGCCGAGAAGATCTAAAATCAGATATAATAATACGGAGCAAAATTTCTCCGGCAGGAGTATACGGTATTTATAGGTAGTTGAAAAAGATCCGATGCGAGAAAGAATATTCCGGCAATGAATTGTTCACCAAGAAATTGGTTTTTCTTTCCAACTTTGAAAAGTAGCGGCAATGAACACGAAGAACACGGGATTTTTTTATTTTACTCTTTTATTTTATTTTGTGGAAAAATTTTAAAACACAAAAACATCTACGGCCTACGGAGTATCCTTTTTTTAGTACGGGGTAACTTTTGAGAGCAATGCTAAGGGTACACTATTTGGTGTATCCCATTTGTCCCCCACCTCCTTCTCTACCATCCATTTTTATGTATTTTTTATTTATTTAATTTTTTTTAAATTCTTGCCCATTTATATGGTAATGGAGGGGGTGAGGGACAAATGGGGTACACCTTTGGTGTACCCCTAGCATTTTTCAACTTTTGAATACGGAGTTTAGGACAATTTGCTTGCTAGGGAGTACTTTTTTTATAATTTTTATTTGGGCAGATTTTTTTGACACTGACCAATTGTGTAACTAGCGATGTCACTGTATTTTGGAACAATTCTGGCTTTCAATTCGCAAATTAATAGTTCATATTCCTCATAACATACTCCCTAAACCCCCACCCTAGCCTCACCCAAGCCCCGAATGGAAGTATTATATAACCAATGGTGGTCATTACTGACGACCTGTCAATGGTGGTCAATGCTGACGACCTCACGACGACGTAAGGAGACACTCTGGCGACACGCAACGACACATTGCTGTGTGGCATCGGTAGATGACCGTGAGACTATTTTAACAATTTGAGTCTTATTTAAAAGGGAAAAAAGACTGAAATAAAATTAAAAAATTAAAAATATATCAAAATAACATTTTCACATTTTTATCTTTAAAATAAGAGTCAAAATTTATTTAAAGGGTCAATCATGATCATATACATTACCAAAAAATATTGTGAAATGTCTATATACAGTGTCACGTTACAACAGTACGAACTTCTATTTTATAGATAAAAACTCAAACTTCTATTTTAATACGGAATACTTTCTCTATGTTTTACACTATTTAAGGTGATTTCTTTACTTTAAATTCATAAATCATCTTATCTAATAAATTTAATAAATACAAATTTAAATATTTTGATATTTTTTCTCTCTACAACCCTACATATATCGAGGTAGTCCATTGATTGAAGTGTGAGAGGATTGTAACAAAAAAATGAATTTCGAATCACACTTCATACATTTTTTTTTACTTTTCAATACTTTTCTAAATATCGTGAAGCCAAACTGAAAATTTCTTTCAGAGACTAAAGGAATATATATTAGTTTGAAATAGTAAAAAACCCGACATAATTATAATGAATACCAAATCATTTAAGAAAACAAACACCCAAATATACAAGAAAATGAAACCATTAACTCTTCATTCTTAAGTAGGTTGGAGAGCATGTATAAACAGATATTATAGCGTCCAATAAAATACAAAAAGTACTCCATACAAAGTACTTTCTGTGTTCTAAATTAACCGTCTCACCTTCTTTTCAGTCAGTCAGACTTCTCTACCCACAAAATGTGAACCCAATTGTTCAAATCTTTCCCCAGCAATAAAAGCATAAACCTGATCCTGCATCTGAACCCAACTGCACCCAGGCATTTTCTTCACCCCTTTCACCTTCATCAGCTCCCTAACTCGATCCGCGTCCTTCCACCTCCCGGCGTCTGCATACATGTTGGACAGCAGTGCGTAATACCCGGAGTGATTCGGCTTCAGTTTGAGCAACTGATCCGCGGCCCAACAGCCCAAATCCAGCTTCCCGTGTAGTCTGCAAGCTCCAAGAAGAGCACCCCATACATTGGAATCGGCTTCAATGGGTAAGCTTTGAACCAGATGAACAGCTTCATCAACAAGGCCACATCTCCCAAGTAGATCCACCATGTTTGCGTAGTGTTTCTCTGTTGGTTTGATATCATTACAAGCAATCATCTCGTCGAAGAATCTCCTACCTTGTTCGATTAGCCCTCCATGGCTACAGGCTGATAGGACCGCGATATAGGATACTGAATCATATTTGACCCCATCATCTCTCATGGATTCGAATAAATCAATCGCAGTTTGAACTTGACCAATCATTCCATACCCTAAAACCATGGTGTTCCAAGACGCCGCATCCCTGTGTGACATACGGTCAAAGATCCTCCGGGAGATATCAATCTGCCCACACTTTGTGTACAAATCTAAGAGCGAATTCGCAACGAATTGATGTGAATGGAAGATTCTCCTGACAGCAAAACCATGGATCTCCTTTCCTTTCTTGATTTCAGAAGCGTTAGAGCACGCAGAGAGGGCCCCCACGAATGAAACAGTGTCATGTTTCATTCCAAGATGGCCCATTTCTGAGAAGAGAGAAAGAGAGACTTTCCAATCATTAGTCAGAGAATAACCAACAATCAGTGTGTTGTAAGACACCTCATCTTTAAGGGAGATATCAAACACATTACGAGCCAGATTTAGAAACCCACATTTTGAATACATATCTATCAATGCATTAGATACGAATAAATCAGAGGCGCACCCGCAATGGAGTGACTTTGCATGAATTTCCTTCCCGGGGCGAATGTATGCCAGCCTGGCACATGCTGGGAGAAGATTAGTGAACGTGACAGACGTTAGGTTTTCACCCTGAGCTTGCATTTCCCTCACAAGAGCTATAGCCTCTTGCTGCAGAGAGTTTTGTGCAAAGTTTGCAATCATTGCATTAAACGATATGGCATTCTTCTTGTCCATATGATGAAATACATTGGACGCTCTTGTCGAATGCCCTGATTTAGAGTACATATCAATCAGTGAGTTTGATACAAAGACATCCCTATCCAAACCCATCCTCACAGAGAAACCATGAACTTCCCTTCCCTTGCAAAAATAACCCAGTTCAGCCAAGATTGGCAAAACACTTGAAATTGTAGTAGAGTTTAAATCCACTGGCTCATAAATCATCAACCTGAAACTAGAGAATGCATGTTCATAACACCCATTGTAACCTAAGATGACAATGGTTGCATTCCATGTGACATCATTCCTCTCGGTCATCTCATCAAACACTCGTCTTGAAGCTTCCACCTCTCTGCACTTACCATATGCGTCAATTAATGCATTCCCGATGCTAAGTTGAGTATCTAAACCCACTTTGAAAATACAACAATGAATTCCCCTACCCACCTTGCTATCCTCAAGGGCTGCACAAACAGGCAGTGTGCTTACCACAGTCACATTGTTCGGCTTAACTTCACACGCAGAAAACATTTCCTTGAACACTTTGAGCGCATCAAACCAGCAAGAATTGTCTGAAAACACCCGGATAACCGAGTTCCAAGACACCAGATCCTTCTCAGGCATTTCATCAAACACCTTTCGTGCGGCCAATGAATCCCCGCAGCTCCCATAGAAACTCAACAGAGTATTATTCACATACACATCCGAATCAAAGCTCAGCTTCAACAGCATCCCATGAGCCTCCAACCCTTTCCGGACCTCCAAAAAGTCCGAACACAGCTTAAGCACAAAGGGGAAAGTGTGATCATCCGGCATGACACAGCTCCTAAACATTTCATTATACACCAAAAACCCATCCCTGCAACACACCCCAAGCATCCCATGCGCTCGAATGAGGGTGTTGTGGAGAAACGGCGAGCGAGCGAATCCGGCGCTCTGCGAAAAAAGAATCTGGCAGGTTTTCTGGCTCGACCCAAAGAGCGCGTACCGGAGAATGAGCGCCGCGGACACTGAAATGCTGGCCGGGAGGACGCCATGGAGGACGGCCTGAGCGTGAGTCTGCTGAACTTGCCGGAGAGACTGCGCCGATTCACAGAAGGAGATGATGTCCGGCGGCCGAGACCATCGATGATACTGTTGGGGAAAGTGTAGACGATTTGGGGGAAAGAGCGAGGAAGCTAAAGGAGCAAATCGAGCATGGCGGCTATGGATGATATACATACAATAGTGTACGGACTAAACAGATCATCGGAGTCTGATCGGCGGCAATGACGGGCGGCTATTCCTTTATAAAAATAAAGAGACTCCAGAGCTTGACATTTGGCATAGCCAAAGGTTGACATGTGGCACATTAGGAGCTTGCCATGTGGCAATATTATGTGGCAATTTAATTAAATTTACTCTCTTTCATTATTTCACATTTTTTAATCTTTGTTTCAAAAATGATATAAAGTAATTATTTATTTTGAACCCATGAATTCAAAATTAGAATTAAAATTATTTCCGTGTAAATTATTACTACTTTTAATAAAATATCATTTTTTAAGTATTCTACGTACATATATTTTTAATACGTGTCTCGGATCCATTATATCATAAAATTTACAAAATATTTTTAGAATAATAAATAAAAAACACTCCTCACCCATAAATATATTTTATATTTATTCATTATACATTTACATGATATTCCTTTGGTTGTATTTATTTAAATATTGACACCTAAAAAAATTAAATATTTCCTTTACCTATAAATAAATTTTATATTTTTATGACACTTAATATGTAACTTAATTTAAGGTATAGAAAATGCGAATTCAATGTTTTGGAATAAAATCTTTGAATAAATTTATTTGTTAAAGAGAAACATTCAATTTTATGAAATTACTCTTTCCAATAAAATACAATATTTTTTACTTGCTTCATTTATAAAA